TCGGAGTTCTTGGCCACATCGATAGTGGAAAAACATCACTTGCAAAAGCTTTAAGCTCCACTGCATCCACAGCTTCTTTTGATAAAAACCCTCAAAGTAAGGAACGTGGCATAACTCTGGATCTCGGCTTTTCTTCATTTCAAGTACCCATCCCAGAACATTTGAAGGAGCACGGATTTGACATTCTTCAGTTTACACTCGTCGACTGCCCGGGCCATGCCTCCCTTATCAGAACAATCATTGGAGGTGCTCAGATTATCGATATGATGATGCTTGTCGTCGACGTTACCAAAGGGATGCAGACTCAGACTGCCGAGTGTCTTGTGATCGGAGAGATACTTTGCGAGAAAATGGTCGTCGTGCTGAACAAGACTGACTTGTTGAAAGAAGATAAAAAACAAGCGTTAATCGAAAAGGTAAGGTTTTTCTCGCAGTGCCTCGTCTTATTTTTTTTCATTTTATCTCCCAAATGAACTCGTGGGAAACAAGTCGATGTTCTCGATTTTGGTATGGACCTTGTGAAACGCTCTTAACTCCCATCAGTGACTAAGACAGAATTTCTCCTTACAATATCAATACAGTATCATGCAGACAAGTGATGAGAATAAATGAAAATATCAATCAGTGGATTATTAGTTGATCCACTACCCAATTCTCCAAAGTAACATTGTTGGAATTGTAAGATAGACATTAAGGAGAATAACTATCCCAATCCTAAGCTTGGGTGTGAAAGGGTTGAGGGCCTAGTAAGTGTTGGCTATATTTTTTTTCAGCCCTAAGCTAGCTTACCTGAAGACATAGTGATCAAATGATTTGTGCACCAAAGCAACAAGCTCCAGGCTAAGGACACCATATGATTTTAAGAAAAAAATTGTGCCCTTCTATTTCTCGTAATGAATTCCAATAGATAAACAACAACAACAACATCTTTTATTTAAACATGGTGGGTTTTAAAGCTAATATAGCTCATTGGGCTGTGTAAAAAATGATAATCAAATAATAAAAATAAAAATAAAAGTAAAAAATAAAAATTATTAAATCTGAATGTAGTCAATAAAAAGTGGAATATGTGCAATAAAAGATATGAATATGGTCAATAAGAGGTGAAATCCCTGTAAATTTGGGGACAGCCCATTTGCAGTGACTCTTCATTAAAGTTCAAGTTTCTGAGGGCATGAGACTTTTTTGCCCTTTTAGTGTAGTCCCTGGCGCTGATAGCGGATGGTTCTAAAATATTCCAAACAGTGGATCCTCTATGAGAAATAGAGTTTTTCTTATAATAAGTTTCAAAATGTTGTGCGCTAACACAATGTTGATGACAGAGGTCATACTTATGCTCTTTCCTTTGGATGATATATTGCAAGCATGATGGAGTTATGCAGTTGTAGATATTATAAATTAAGGTGGCTATTTTGACCTTATAAGTGTCAAATAAAGAGTCCCAGTTAGCTGTTTTTCTTACATCCTCAGAGGGCATATTGCGTGGGAGGTTATATATAACTCTGGCAGCCCTACAATGTATTGATTCCGGAGAATTTAATTCATAAACACACACTGTAGCCTTATAGTTTGATTAACATGTAGCTTCCTTATACTTGACAAACAGATCTGATTGATATAATGTATGATCATTTACCCATATTGTAAAATTTGTTGGAATGTGTATTATGGGAAAATGATCTGGAGGGTGTTATGGTGATGTATGATGGTAAAAGGACAGAATCTGGAGTATAATCCAGTCAGTTAGCATGTAGGTGATTATCAAAACTGGATTACCATAAAATGGTATTCAGGTTTGTTAATCACACACTTAATCTCAGGCAGAATTGGACAGCACAAATTCCTGTTTTAACAAATTCTCCCTAACAGCACTTATGGAAATTTATCAAAATCAGTGTGGAGAATATGCATGCTGATTCTGGGTTGGAAAGGGCTAAACTTCCATGATCTTATTCATGCTACTCCCTTGTTGAGGATTTTCCTTTCCTTTTAAATTCATTTCAGCAAACTGGGTGCTCTCTCAAGGCAAGAGCCTGAATTAATGTTATCCTTATTCTCTTTACTGTTCTCTATACATTTTCTAAGGTGCTGATTGGGAGAATGTGTTTAACAATCAAAAACTTCTTTAGTTAGGGATAATTTCCTTTCTTTCTATAACCTGAATGCTTGATTCAGGAGTGATATTGTTGGGAGAAATTACATGCTCATCACTCTTAGGGTTAAAGAGTTAAGCTGATGTGGTATCTAATCTCATTACTTGTTGCCTAGTAATTATATTGACATTGTTTGGAGAAGTTGCATGTAAATCACATTTTGTGGTAAAAGGTTTTATCCTTTTTTTCCCAGATGGCCAAGAAGCTTACCAAGACATTGGAAAGCACCAAGTTTGCAGGTTCTCCAATTTTACCAGTCTCTGCTAAGCCTGGCGGACCTGACTCCCCAGATTCTGAACCTGTTGGAACACAGATGCTAGTTGATTTACTTTCATCCTTGTCATACCTTCCTAACAGAGATCCTTCTGGACCATTGGTATTTGCCGTTGACCACTGCTTCTCCATTCGAGGTCAAGGCACTGTGATGACGGGTACTATTCTTAGCGGAAGTCTCAAAATTAATGACACAATTGAGATCCCCTCCCTGAAGATCACCAAGAAGGTAAAATCCATGCAGATGTTCAAGGCTCCTGTCACAGATGCATCACAAGGTGACAGAGTGGGCATGTGCGTCACCCAGTTTGATCCAAAGCTGTTGGAGAGAGGCCTTGTCTGTAGTCCCAGTACTGTACCCACTGTTTTTGCTGCAGTTGTTTCAGTTAAACCAATATCATACTACAAAGGAACTATCACTTCAAAATCAAAGTTTCACATAACAATCGGTCATGAAACCGTGATGGGTACACTTCAAGTGTTTGGCCTTCCTCCTGGGCAATCAATGGATCCTAAGACACAAGAAGCCTTTGATATTTCTAGAGAGTACATCTTTCAAGAAGAGGTGATAGATCAGTCAAAGAAAAGTTTAAGCACAGGTGGTTGTGAAGATTCAGATCCACAAAGCAAGCCTGTTTCAAGTCATCAGTGGCTTTTCATTGAGTTTGAAAAACCTGTGACATGCCCAGAGCATTCTCTTGTGATTGGCTCACGGCTTGATTCTGATATTCATCTTAACGTCTGTAGAATAGCGTTTCATGGAAGGCTATTACTTCCAGTGACAGAGAAGAACTTTAAGGAAACCCTTTTACCCCAACTTAAGATATACAAGATCAAGGCAAAGCAAGGTGTTGTGGAGAGAATGGCAGATGAATATTCTGTCATTGCTCACTCTTTGTTTAAGAAAGAAACAAACATTCAAAATTTTGTGGGTATGAAAGTGACCCTGTCAACTGGAGAACAAGGAATGATTGAGGGTGGGTTTGGTCAAAGTGGTAAAGTCAAGATCAGGATTGCTACTGGCTTGTCTCCTGATACTGCTTTGAAGCTTTCTTCCAGTGGAAAGAAAAAAGGAGGTGGAAAAAACAAGGGTACCACATTGGAAACTCCAAATGAGGAAACAAATTCTTCAGAGCAAGTCACAAGACCTATCAAAGTAACACTGGAGTTCAAGAGATACAATTATGATCCTAAAAAGAAAATGGTTCAATGAAGAGCTTTTAAAACTGTTTTCACCTCAACATCCATATTCTCCAAGCAATTCTGTTTCCATTTCCAATGGAATTGACAAGGAGAATTTGTTTGACAATCAGGAGCATCTTAATTTGGTGATCATTTACTTTATCCTCATGACCCTAACAGTTGAATCAAAGGTGCTGCTGTGAGGAGAAATTAGATGTCAGTCACACTCTCACAGGTTAAAAGGATAACACTGATTTATGAGGAACATCACAATAAATGTTGATGGAAGAAGTTTTAACCCATGATTAGAATTTTTCAATTGGTGATCATCTACTTTATTCTCATGAACTTTACATTTGATTCAAGGGTGATGCTGCAAAGAGAAATTAGATGTCAGTCACTCTCGTGGGTTAAAAGGGTAACACTGATTTATGTGGAACATCACAATAAATGTTGACAGTAGTAGTTTTTTCCCATGGTTAGATATGGGTATTAATTTTTTAGAAGAATAGGTTTAAATACCACAGACAACAACTGAATCATAAAAAGTCTAGGAATGAATAGCACCTTGCATCACAAGCTCAAAGATTTATAGAGTTCATGTCTGTAGCTTTTTGAGAGAAAATGTTTTTCTTTTTTTATTACTTGTTCCATCAGACAACAATCCCCTTAAAATACATTTTTTACTGGGAAAATAGCTTCGTTGCATTTGAGATTATCAAGAAAGGTTGGAAAGTGGTTTTTAAGTTTAAGGTTCATAAACAAGAATTCATGTTGAGATCTTGGTGTTGAAAGGGCTGTGGCTTTTGGATTGAGTGATTTAGTAGTTTCATGGTCAGTTTAGAATTTTGCTCTTCTCATTGCCACCCTGTCATTGATTAATGAAAGCTAAGAAAATGGAACTAAAAATGAATTTACATTGCAGGTTTTTTTTTCAGTCATGAAATAAAATTAGAATTAGAGGTGGTACACATTTTTTCTTAAAAGTAAGAAAGTAGATAGATCCATGAGAATGTGAGCGGTCAGAGAGGAACAGTCGGAGCTTCTGGTGGGACATGTCAATTATTTTTTTAGTTCTAGATGGAAACAGAGCTCTCCTTCCCTTGACTTCCACAATACGATTTTCTCTTTAGGTATACTGTTGAACCCCGTTAACTCAAATTACCCAGGGAATTGAAATTACTTCGAGTTATCAGGGTTTCGAGTTATAGAGGTTTCATTTTTGAGGGGAAGAAGAAACATGTTATTGTTCTCAAGAATGAACAGGGTAACACTGACAAGTAATGACAAACAACAGATCGATTTTAGATTACGCGCCATTATTTCTCTTAGCCAGGAAGAAATGTCAAAACTGTTCAATTATTTACGGACATACAAACATTTGATATCGACAGAGGTCAATTTGTCATAATATGTAAATGAGATGAAATGTAATCTTTCAGTGCAAAATGTCATGGCTCATTAGTTCGTAAAAGTGAAAATCGACTTCGAGTTATCGAGGGTAAAGTTAGACAGAAAAGTACTTAGAGGGAAGTAAAAATCGCATCGAGTTAGCGGGGTTTCGAGTTATCGGAGTTTCGAGTGAAAGGGGTTAAGGTAACAGTAAATATATGGGGCCAATCCGAGGGAATTCAGTTTTGCTTACAGTTAGCGGGGAATTCGAGTTAGCGGGAAATTCTAGTTACCGAGGGTTCGAGTTGACGGGGTTCAACCGTATGCCCTTGTTATTTTTCAAATTTTTCTTTGACAGAACTTATGTCCTGGCTTTACGCCATTTCAGCGTTTTCTTGTAGACGTCTCAGAAAAAATATTTCTGTACCATATCTAGAAGTATCTCTAGTGGTATTAATTAACATATACCTCTGCTTAAACCAGGAGTTTCTTTCTTTCCCCTCATTTTCCCTGGCCTGTGCTAGGCGCAATTAACGAGTGGAGTATTTTATAATCCCGTCCCGGTAAGGAGAGAGAGGAACAGTTGACGAAGTATGCTTGGGGTGCTAATCAATAATTTCCACGAATCGCGCGGTCAAAAATTTATCTTCTTAACTTAGCGTTGTTAGACTAAATGAGAGGAGAAAGGTCTCGAACTTTCCTCGATTAGTTCAGAAAGGTGGATCACCTCAACCAGAGGTGTATAATTAACTGAACTCTTTGTTCGGAATGAAAATATCGTCCTATTGTTTAACAAAATTTCTGTTTTTCTTCCGTGAAAATAGCAGGAAACAAGCTATCTTCAGCTATTTTGAAGAGTCAAGAGGGTGGTCGAGGAGCTCTGGGTACCATTACTTCTGAATGCGCATGTGTTGATGTGAATTCATGCCGGAAAATGGTGGAATAGTGATTGCTGAAGAGAGTTTCCGTTTCTCTCCAGCGTTATTCGCTGACTTGTGCATAAAATGAGTGGAGAGAATGACCAAGACCTCTTTGGAACAGATCTCCTGTCAGAAGCCTTGGGGCAGAGTGGTCTTAATCTAGATGATTTGCTTGGAAATCCACCGGGTAGTTTTCTGCCCCAGAGCCTGTTTGATTTTGGGGATGTCAGACCAGACGATTTCGATTTCCTCGATAATTTCAATTTAAACGGAGATTTTATTCCAGAGGCGCCTTACCCGACATTAACAAGTTCAAATAACAGCAGGGTAACTTCCAATAATGTAAATACCCAAAGAAATGTTCAAGTTTCTCAAGTCCAACAAACTTTCTTGGGACCACAGCCAACTTTTCCAAACGTGGCTTCAAGTGGAACAGTTTTTCCAACTCCTCGACAACTTCCGCCCAGATGTCAAACTCCGCAGTCTGTTTCTAAACCTTCCATTAACTCAAATGTTCCAAGGTTGCAGAGTTCGACATCTCCGATTTTACTAGATTTGTTAAACAGTGGAAGCAATAACTCTGTGAGCAGTAACTCTATGAGCAATATTTCCGACGCTGCGAAGAAGGAACTCACCAAGAAGTGAGTCTACATGTTTTTATATCAATATTGTCTAAGTTGCCGATAAACCAAGTCATTTTCTTGTCCGTGATTATCCCAATGAGCAAGTCAGTTAGCTTTCCTCAAACGATTTGCAGTTTGTATTATTAGTTTCATCTACGACTTGTTCATCGTTACGTCGTCGCTCGTCGCTTGACTGTTAACATTTCCGGTTTCATTTGTGTGGCTTCTCTCGAGAAAGTATCAGAGATGAACAGGATTATTTTTATTTTCTAGAGATGTTTCACGACTGTGGTCAAACCATGATGTTAGTTTGAATCATGTGGGAGAGGTAAGCCTTTTTTTTTCTGTTGTATTTATATATCATTGCCTATTTGACTTACGACTTTTCTGATCACCAACAGTGCTTAACTCAGCAGAATAATTTGTGCACTTTGAGCAGTTTATGTAACAGAGTTACGAAATAATTGTTTTAACAAGCCTGGTACAGCCAAGTTGATACAAGATAGTACATTACACCTCTATGTTTCTACAACGTAACAATTCAAGTTCAAGTTGCGTCATTACAGCTTTGTGGCAAGCCTTTCACTCTCAGGAACTCAGCTCTCCTTACTATTTACCATATAACTTTCGTATAAATTTAGCTCTGGGAATTTATGATCAATCAAACAAGATGCTCTACTTAATACTTCTCTTCCTTCTTGATGCCTTTTGGCTTGACAGTGAATTGTTATTTATAGGAGAAATTGCTTGTTGATTGATTGATTTGATTACCGGTGAGAGTGAAAAAGTTAAACAGTCTTGTGACAACCAACTTTCAACCCTGTATCAGACTGCCCTGTTACAGCTGATAAGTAGCAAGAACAAACACTTTACTTGGGTGCATAATGAGAATCAAAGACTAAACTCTCCTGTACTGTACAAGGACATTTAACTGAAAACAGCAGTAACAAGATCAACAAACAAAAGTATGACAACAACAAGGACCTTACAGAAAAACATGCAAACACGTTACAACCCTTTTACCCCTAAGAATGACTAACATATATTATCTCCTCGCAATATCTCCCCTGAATCACACGATTAGGTCATGAGAATAAGGGAAATGATCACAAACTAAAGAAGCTCTTAATTGTAAAACCAATTCTCTTTGTCAGAACTGTAAGAAAAGAGAATAGTGTAGAGGATATGCAAAGTGATTTTAGAGAGTAAAGTATTAAACTTAGTAGTATGCCTTCACAACTCAACTCCAGAAACTGTTGCAAATAATTCTAGAGTAATTTAGTATTATCAACTGAGTTGATAACGTTAATTGGCCACTGTAAAGAGTTACAAGCACGATGTTTCAAGCAATAGCCCTTTGTCAATGCAAATGAAGGAATTGTGGGTTGTGTGAATGTTTATATGCAGAAAGTGGAACTATGCTGTTGGTAGGAATGGAGTTTGTTTGAGCTAGTTTGGAGCTCTCAGGATCTGGGAGTTTTTAATAAACTCCTTTAACTGAGACAAGATAATCTGAAATGGTACATTGGGGGAATCAATTTTAATCATCTTCATTAAATATGATACTAACATTTTTCAGGACAATGATACTGTTAGTGACGAAAATGAAGATGAAGAGGATGAAGAAGAAGAACTAGGACAAACAGATACTTATGCAGAATATGTTCCTAGTAAATGTGAGTAATTTAACTTCAAGGCTAATTCAGGAAAGAACAATTCTGAATTTCTCTTCTGATGATTTATGTGAACTTTAAGCATGCAACTCCTAAAAGTGATTAACATGTAACTTCTACCTGTAATATGCATATATAATCCAGCAAACAGCTGATGAGAATACACAAGCTTATTCAAAACAATATGTTATTTTGATCTAATACCAAATTCTCGTACCTAATTTTCATGGAATTATGTAGTAACGAGAAGGGAGAATATAGATTCAGTTCTTGGAAGTTAGGAGGTTAATCAGGTTTTCAAAACAGTTAACCCTTTAACCCCAAAAGTGATTAACATGCAACTTCTCTCTATGATATCGTACACTATTCAGCAAACAGGTAATGAGAATACTCAAACTTATCAGATGGAAGTTGCTATCTTTATCTGACGCCAAATTCTTGAAAGTTATTTAAAAGAAAATCTGCAGCAGCTAGAGGGGAGAATTAACAATTAGATCTTGGGAATTAAAGGGTTAACTGATGTTCTTCTATACCTATGGGTTGAGAGAGAGACACTGAAAGGGTTGAGTGTCTTGCTCAAGAACACAACTTGATGTAGCATCAAGTGAGTGACCAAGACAGAATTTCTCCTTACACTATTAATGCTAACTGAAGCAGATTAGTGATGAGAATAAAGAAAAATATCAATTAGGGGATTGTTGTTGATCCAATACCAAATACTCCAAACTAACATTATAAGAATTGTATAGCAGACTGTAAGGATGATTACTAATAAGATCATAAATTGGGAGTCCTGTCCACCAACTAACTACTATTTCACTGACTTTAGAAATGAATCAATTCTTTATATTATCAAATTAACCCTAATCCCAAGATCACATGAGTAATTCTCCTTATTGTCTGCTAAACAGTTTTTATGTTAGTTTGGAGAATTTGGTATTGGATCAGCTAATGATCCCCTAATTGATATTTTTCTCTATTCTCATCACTAGTCTGCTTGATATTGTATGTATATAATAGGGAGAAATTCTGTCTTGGTCACTCATGGGAATTAAAGGATTAAACTTACCAAGTACTGCTTTCTGTTTCAGTACGCCTAGGACGTCGCCATCCTGATCCAGTAGTGGAAACAAGGTGAATGATCTATGTAGATATACATCAGCAACTGTGTAATAGGCAGACAATGAAAACCATGAAAATTTTTGTTTAATATTAAAAATTCAGTTTAGTAAAAGCTATGCACAATAAGCTTGTTATACATAAGCGAACTTGAGATTTATTTGTCTAAGGGCTGACTGGCTTTTTCCTTGGAACACAATAACATTTTGTTAATATGATGGTGTTCATGGTTTTCTCCAGTTCTAAGTAACAGTGGCAAATATGCAAAGACACATTATAGTAAATCTACCCTCCCCAGTTCCCCTCAACCAGCAATGGGTCAAAGTTGATCATGTTGGTTACATGCTGTATTAATTTTCATGATCATTGGTCAAATGAAATTTTCATTTCCTTGAAACACACAATTTAATGTTTTCTACCCGGGGTTGTCATAAGAAGGAAGGAGTCAGAGCAATTTGTACCTACATCTTTGTGAATTATGATCAAAGACAGCAATGATTTCGACATCAATGTTTGGCTTAAAAAAGTTACTCAAATGTGTCCCAGAATACTGGAAGTCACAACTCAGAGAGTTTCAAATTTCAAATTTTTTTTTTCAGGGGAGCATGTTCCTGGAACCCCTCCAGAGGGGCTTGTTGTGGAACAACACACCACTCTTGTTACACAAAGCACAATTCCATTCACCCACCAACTAAGTTGAGATGATAAATCTATTACATTCTCTACCCATATGTTCTGCCAGTTAATTAATGATTTCCTTGTGCACCGCAGTTCATTGTCAAGTGTGACGCCTCCCGATATTTGGTATCGTTTGATGTTCCCCAAAGAAGTAATTGACAACTGTTACTTATCTGCACTACAACTGGAGGCTGTTGTGTATGCTTGCCAGCAACATGAGACATTCTTGGCAGATGGGACAAGAGCTGGCTTTCTAATAGGTAACCAATTTGTCTTTCAGTGCTTTTGATTAAAACACTCACTGAATAGCAAATGACTCTTGAACTCACAAGACAGTTCCATGTTCTTGAAAACTTAGCATAGTGTAAATAAAAGATGAAAATGGGTCATCAGAAAAAAAGAGTCCTCAGATAAAATCACTTTTGAATATTCTTGTGACTTCTTGCAGCTTATACTGTGACCTCCAGAGATAAATTTTGTTAAATAAAATGGTAAAGCATTATAATTATAGCGTTGAAAAAACAATTCATTTCACTTTTTATTAGACCATTCGAAAGTATTTGTCAATATGTTACAGCTTGCTACATGAGCATGATCACCAGATACAGGTTGTTAAATTGGTGAATTCCCCAAGGAAATCTCTTCAGTATTCTAACTCTTTCATTGTAATTTTATTAAGTAAATTAACTTTTCAGGTGATGGTGCAGGTGTTGGAAAGGGAAGAACAGTAGCAGGTACCTCTTTTGTTGACCTTTTGTTTAAGAGAGCTGGTAAAACTTTAACTTTATCAGTTCTAACTATAATTATAACTTTAAGTTTGCTGACTATCAAGAATTTTTGCTAATATGCTTTGTTGAATTATAGGAGTCATTTATGAAAACTATTTGCTCGGAAGGAAGAGGGCCATTTGGTATGCACAATGAATATTGTCTCTTATAATAGTGTTTTATTGTATTGAAATTATTTAGAAAATACTCAGAGAGCCTGTTGTCCATCCAAAATGCTTTACATTTGTATAATTTTGTCTGGGACTTGTTCAGTTGTTGAGTGTGATGTTACAATATTTATTAGGTTCATTTTGTCAAATTCACTAATAATAAATACAAATCCACCTGAGATTAAGTAAAAAGGGACTGCATTTCATGACAACTTCTAGTTGTTTAAAAAAATAACTTCCAAGTATAAAATATTTTAGTTGTAATAATTGTTTAAATGCAACAGAGCAATTAATTAGTTAGTTGTTCTTATAACTGAGGGAAATTGAGCACTGGTAGAAATGATCCAACCTCCAAGAAGTTCTCACTAAAGCGTGCAAGAGCATTATTATAAAATAATTCAAATAGTACGCACGCTCTGATTAGCCATAAAACCATTTTACATGAGCGCATGTAAACACAGTTTTCATTCCTCTTTCATTAGTTATTTTATAAAAGAAATATAAAATGGTTTCCGTGTTTACATAGCCTGATGTAAACATGTGGGAGGTTGGGAGAACACTCGATAAGCTGGAAACCACTTCGCTTCACGTCATAGTTTCCTATGCTTATCTTGTGTTCTCCCAACCTCACGCATGTTTACATCAGGCTATGTAAACACAGAAACCATTTTACATTTCTTCATTGATCAATTTTTCTTTCCTGGCCTACCAGCTCTAAATTTCCTGTTAATAGTACGCCGCAACATTTTTTCATAAGTTATTGTTCCTTTTTTCAAAATCCACTTACTGCTTGCCAAAAATGTTGAAAATTTAACAAGCCCTCTCTCTGAATAAGCACCCACCTCAAATAGGTTCTCATTCTTAAGGTCCATCAATTTACTAGCACCTTAGGTGCTAGTAAATTGATGGTCAAATAAATATGTGTGGTATAAATTTTGTTAGTATTTTCTTGCATGTGAATGCTAGGTTTTGAAGTTATTTTGGTTGAAAAAAATTGGTGTGTAAAGGTCTCCAATCTGTCTCTTCTCAACAGGTTAAGTGTATCAAATGATTTGAGATATGATGCTGTAAGGTAAGATTCCTGTTGAAATGGTTGTTATAATTGGTAAAATTACAATTCAGTAAATGGTTTGAACCCAGTGGTAACATTAAATCATGTAGTCTGGGATTGATTGATTCACCCAGATTGTCTGGGTGAAGGAAGTCCTAAGGGAACTGTATCAGTGGTGGTGACTGACATTTTGACAACCTGGCAAGATTGTATAAACTGATTGGTCAGTTTAGCCATGACCAATTAGTTTACACAGACCAAACATATAATATGTGACTGACAAGACTATATGATAAAAATTAAAATTGCTCCATAATAATTTATATATACTGGAGAAACTGCAAAAATTTTGAAGGAAAGACATCTTGCATGGTGTCTATTTTCAAAAGTACGCTGTCTTGACATGTTCATTTTGGTTCTAGATTTAAAGCCCCAATAGATATAAGATCAAGTATAAGATTCCTTTTCTAAAACGATTTCTTACCAAGTTATATATTAAGTTGATGGTTTTTGATTGATATTTTATGAATAGTTATGGACAGAAAGCCAGTGGTTTATTAACCTTTCAACTCATAGGTCTGATTGTTAATTCTTACATGTAGTTGCAAAGCATTTCCTCGTAAATTAGTTATTTCATCAGTTATTATTATCCCTTTGAAGACTTGCGTTAATTTGGCTTTAACTTCCCTTGCAGGGATCTGAAAGACCTTGGATGTCACATCAATGTACATCCTCTTAACAAGGTAATGTCACAACTTGTGTACTTTTATGACACTAGGTTAGTCAAGTGCTGTTAACGAGTCTGGAAATACTGGTTACCTACACTCAATTCTTCATGTCTTATTTACTGATTAAAAGCTTCTTTTGTTAGTAATCATTTCTTTCATTCTCATGACCCTAATGTGTGATTCAGAGGTATATTGTAGGGAGAAATTAGATACTAGTCAGTCTTAGGGTTTTAAGGGTTAAAATAACTGAGGAGAATGTGCTGCCTTTGCTATGACATCTGCAAATGGTTAGATACCCTAGTTTACTCAGATAAAGATCATAAACTTTAGGTTCCGTCTCCTACATCTTCTCTGTGCTAGTTAGGGGATGTTATTGTGGTATGGCCTTGTTTCCAAAAATTCCAAAATTGGGGGCACCTGAAAATTTTCTTTATAAAATTGTACACTGCTCAATGTAGTCAGTCCAAAGTTCCCTTTAAAGTGTTTTAAAGCACATTATAGTATATTGATTTAGAGAATGTGCTACAAGTGTGATCTGAATGTGATATGAATGCATCTTGGTCATCTTTAATTTTTACGTTATTTCCCATTATTGCAGTTCAAATATGATGCCAAAATTTCATCCAAAAGGAATGGCAGTTTTAAAAAGGGAGTGATATTCTCCACATACTCGTCTCTGATTGGAGAGAGTCAAGGTTCTGGAAAGTACAATACAAGGATGGGCCAGCTACTGCAGTGGTGTGGCTCAGACTTTGATGGGGTGGTATCCTTTACAACAAGCCATTTTCTTCATTGTGAAATGATGAAAGAGCGAATCCTATGAGCTGTGAGGCACTAAGTTACTAGAAGAAAGGTGTTCATTTTTCGAGAACAAAATGTGTTTCCATATGTTTGAGATCCTGCCCTTCATCAGTGCAAAGTCTGAATGCAATCAACTTTATTATTTGTAATGTTTTATATCAGTCCTGTTATATAATGCTTGGTAAACAGGGATGCTTTTACTGGGAGTATTGTAGCCTTCAGAATTTTCTATATTGAGAGGGTACAGCAATTATGTTGTCATCAAGGCCTCAGAATAATACTCTCCCAGTACAGTATTCCAGTTTTCTTACTTTTAAAGAGTTTGAAACAAAGGGTGTTACGTCTCACAAACTGCTACATTCCTTAAGTCTTGTGGCAGATCGTGTTAGATGAGTGCCACAAGGCCAAAAACTTGGTACCAACTGGCTCCTCAAAGCCAACCAAAACTGGATTAGCTGTCTTGGGACTGCAGAGCAAACTTCCTAAGGCCAGGGTTATCTACTGTAGTGCAACAGGTATGTTAATATGCACAGTTTGTAACAAGTTGTAAGGATTTATAGCCAGGATTGTCATGTTGGTATAATGGTAACTGTGACAACTATTACATCATTGGTCAGTTCGATGAAACTCCATGGGGGCTGATTACTTTAATCTGAGTGTGGATCTGTCTGCAACAGACTGAGCACTTTTGGTGGCTGGGTCATTGGGTAAGGAAGCAAGCAGCTCTCTCTTTTTGTGCTGTCTGTCAGCCATGGGTCTATGACTCTATTCAGTTGACTTACCTCCTCTGCTGGGAAGGCTGAGCCATGATGGTCAGCCATAATGAAGGGTCTTGCAACTTCCAAAAAGAGTTTTCCATGTCCTCAGGATAGTCTTGAGACTGTTTTTGAGGTAGAACTTGGGTCATCAAATATGGTGCCTGCCCCTTTTGCCATGCGTATACCAAAACTCATGTAGAAAGCCTTAAAATATTATAAGCAAGCAGTACTGTGGATATGATTCAAGGTTTAGCCCTTTACCTCTCAAGATCTGATTTAAAATTCTCCCTTTAAGCTGCTACATATTTCCTTGTAAATTAGTAATGAGAATTTGGTGTTCGATCAAGATAACAACTTCAATCTGATAAGTTTGACTTTTCTAATTACCAGTTTGTTTGATAATGAATGACTATTGTGGGGAGAAGTTATATGTCAACCACTTCTGGAAGTTAAGGGGTTAATTGCAGTACTTTGTTTCTGAATACACTTGTTTATGCATTCAGGTGCCTCTGAACCCAAGAACATGGCATACATGTCTCGGCTCGGAATATGGGGACCGGGAACACCTTTCAGAGAATTTAATGACTTCATTCAAGCTGTGGAACGAAGGTGAGTACATTTTATGCTGTGATGGGGTTAAATTATAAAAAAGTCAAAATATTGAGACGCACTCACCTTTCAACCAGCTAGTCACATTTTAAAAAATGGTAGTCTATTTGATTGACGTCAACAATGATTTACTAGGCATGACTGTCTTCAAATGTTATCACTTTGAACAACAATTTTTCTTTCAACAAATAATTGACCATATGCACAAAGTTGAAAGAAATCAAGAAGAACATGCAGATTTATAGCCTAATTGTACATGATTAAGTCCCAATAAATTTAGTGTGAGTGGTAGTATTGGTAAAGGAAGTAATTTGCAATTGATTCTGGTCTGTATCATGTTGTAATTACTGCATTTTTTTTCTTCAGAGGAGTTGGTGCAATGGAAATTGTAGCTATGGAAATGAAGGTGACTTGAGGAGTTTTATGTAAATCTGACTTGTCATTGTGATAACACATTTTCAATTAAATGAAAATTAACCTCAGAGAGAATGAACCTCTTCATAGCAATTTTTAGAGTTTCTCAGAAGCTGTGACCCTTTTACTAATCAGTAACTCTAATAAATTATTACTGTCTGCTACACAATTTTTATGATGTAAGTTTGGAGAATTTGGTTTTGAATTCACTAAACATCCCTTACTTGATATATTTTTTTCCCATCTCCTGTCAGTTTGATATTGTTAACCCTTTCACTCCCACAAGTGACCAAGACAGAATTTTTCCTTACAATATCTCTACAATATCAAGCAGACAAGTGATGAGAATAAAGAAAAATATCAGTTAGGGGATCATAAGTTGATCCAATACCAAATTCTCCAGACTAACATCACAAGAACTGTAGGGAAGTCAGTAAGGAGAATAACCAATGAGGAACTTGGAAGTTTAAGGGGTTAATATTGTGAGGAGAAATAATTCTCTATTGGTCACTCATGGGAGTTAGAGGCTTTAACTTTGATCTTCAAATCATCTTCTATGTCAACCCTATCTCCTAGAGATGATAACAGGTAGCCTTTCCTTACAATATGAATGCTTTGCTTAGTAAAGACTAGAACATAATTGCTATCTTAATAAAGCACTACCTGACATTCAAGGAAGTCCTACATAGCTCAGGGGGAATTGGTATTTAGGTCTTGAGAGGTGAATGGGTCAGTTCACCGTTCTTTTACAGCCATGCTGTGCTAGGATCTAAGATTTGCAAAAAACATCATTCTGTGTCCAAAATATGAGTGAGACGGGAAGAAAACTCAACAAATTTTTATTTACCGACAATATGAGTAAACTTGGCTGTGTTATACAACAATCCCAAGCAACACACGTGTTACATGAATGCAAGACTGACAAGCATGACAGCGTCACTTCTTACATCATACACCACACTTACCTATGTGTACCACTGTATAAATGTACACACATGTGTGATTCCTTTATCAGAGCACTGTATGCTTGCTGAAAGCGGCAGGCTTACTGATTAATTTTATGAAACCAGGAAATAGAGCATTTATGGGTGGTTCAGTGGCAGTCAATTAATTGTTTTTTTTTGCTTCATTTTTTTTTTCTCAGCTTCGCGGCATGTACATGACACGTCAACTTAGCTTTGCTGGAGTAACCTTTGACATAAAAGAATTACCACTTGCCAAAGACTTCATTGAGATGTATGATGCATCAGTCAAACTTGTAAGTTATGTTTTGCATTCAAACTTGTCAGTTATATTTTGCATTCAAATAACACAGGCAACTGTTCACTGCCTGTGTTATTTAAATTTTTTTGGAAACTTTTGCATTTTAATATTTGATAAAATACCTAGCATAACAAAAATAACCTGTTTTATTGATTATAAATTGTGGTTTTCATAGTGGAGGGAAGCAAGAGAGAAGTTTGAAAAAGCTGCAGATCTCATGGAAGCTGACAGTAGAGTGAAGAAGACCATATGGGGTCAGTTTTGGTCTGCTCATCAGGTAATTAACCCTTTATATGCTGACTTCAGTATGCATATTCTCCATACTGTTCTCTGTACATTTCCTGTGGTACTGATGGGAGAATCTCTTTATCAGTTAACAGCTCTTTTAAGCTGGTGATCATATCCTTTATTCTCGTGACCTGGGGATAGTATAAGGAGAAGTTCAATGTTAGTCACTCTTGGGGGTTCAAAGGTTAAGTGCGGAAATTGTTCACTTAACCTGTTCACTAGTATGGGATATACAATTTAAAAGTAGGTCACTGAGATTGTAAAGCATGCACTGTTAGTTTGTGTCAGTGATAGATTGAAAATTTTATTTCTAAGATTGAGTAATAACATTATCAATATTTTAAAGAACACCTGCCTGAATGCGAAGACTTTTTCTGTTTCTTTGCAGTGCAACCAGTTTCATTTTCACTTGTGTATGTCTTTAACCCTTTAACTCCCAAGATCTAATTGATAATTCTCCACTTTAACTGCTGCACATTTTCCACTGAAATTGGTTGTGAGAATTTTATGTTTGATCAAGAAAAGAACTCCCACCTTATGAGTTTGAGTATTCTCATTACCTGCTCGCCAAATAATGTATGGATATTGGAGGGGAAAGTTACGCATGAATCACATCTTGAAGTTAAAGGATCAATCACATTGTCCAAGTTTACTTCACTCTTGTGGGAAAAGTAAGGATATTGAAAATTGGGTGGAAGATCTGCTGGCGTAATGGCTGTTGCAGTGGTCTTTGAAAAGAGGGGGTTAGGTTCAAGCTCCTGATGGGATATTGTATACTTTTTTCTGGTGGAGCAAGTCTGTTTAATCATGCCTTGCTTCTTCCTTTTAGGAGTTTGAATAAGTACAAAAAAATTGTCATGGAAATCTGACAAAATTTCAAGCAGCAAAACTCAAAATGTCTTCATGTTACTGTTGATTTTACTTGTTTATCTTTGGGAACCAGCTAGTTCCTCTTTGATTGTAATCATGTAATATGAATATCACTAAGTCCCCTGTTTTCTTATCTTAAATTGTAGAGATTTTTTAAATACCTGTGCATTGCATCCAAAGTACGGAATGTTGTGAGCATTTCCAGAGACGCCCTTAATTCTGGAAAGGCAAGTTTCCAATAAATTTAATTTGTATTGCTGTAACAATTCCAAACCTACCCTATTACCACACATGTTAATGTTTATTTTGTTCTATTACACCTATGACACAAAAAATACTCTGTGTTGTGTTCTCTTCCTTCTTTACTTTATAATCAAATATATAATAAACTTCTTGTGAAGTTTGTGTATCCCAACATGTGATTTTAAATATTTGAAAACTTCCTAACATTCACAAGGGTTCTGTTAGGGTTCATATGAGTCCTGGAAAATCTGGAAAGTCCTGGAATTTTATTTTGACATTTTCCAGGTCTGGAAAGTCCTGGAAAGTTCTGAAAATCTGCTTGAATTTAGCAATGAAGTTTTCAGAATTTATGTTGTAAGAAATATTTTGTTGACTGTTAGGAGAATTGATCTTGAAATCTTGGGAATGAAAGGGTTTTAGGGGAAATTTGGAATCCTGGAAAAACCAGTCTGAGTCCAGGAAAATTCTGGGGAAAGTCCTTGAAATTTTTTTTTTTTGAAAAGTTGTACAAACCCTGTTCTACATAACTGTCTAAGAGCATGTGTACTTTTTCCCCTTTTTGCAGTGTGTCATTGTAGGTTTGCAGTCAACAGGGGAAGCTAGAACACTAGAGCAACTTGAAGAGTCTGGAGGGGAACTAAATGACTTTGTTTCTACTGCTAAGTAAGTTTCATGATTCCTTTGATTGTAAATAACAAAATTTTGTTAAATTTTTCATTGAAAATGTATTTGCATATATGAACATACTTCCTAATGATTGAGTTCGAAGTCTGAACTTCAATTGCCAACTGAGCCTATTTTCGATTTTTTTTTTTTTTATAATTTTGGCTGTTGTATATTCTTTGTAAATTAGAAATTATCTCAAATTTATCTTTCAAATGATTTGTGTCTTTTAGAGGTGTGTTACAAGCCTTGATTGAAAAGCATTTCCCAGCAGCAGACCGAAAAAAATTTGCTGATCTGTTTGGTATTGACAATGATGCCAATGACAAATTGTATGACCAGTCTTCATCCCTAGCATCTGGTCAACTTACCCCACGAAAGAGGAAACAGAAAGGTTAGTTACTCATAATTAATTCTTTGTTTCAGATTGGATTTTCTGTTCATTGCAAATGTAGGGGATTATGTTGCATAATGATGTGATGAATTGTAGAATCCTGC